GCCTGCGGGAACCCCGGACGGCCCCTGGACCCATTTCCTGGGCAGGAAAGCTGAGGCTGGGGTGCAGGCTGTATCTGACGCGCGCGCACCAGAGTCTGGGAAAGAGGCGCCGGGTCCCTTCCCGGCTCCGTGTGCTGAGAGCCCGCCGCAGCCGCAGGAGCCCGCGGAGGTTGGGGGTTCACCTGGCCGGAGCCCCGGCTCCGGCTTGGAGCAGCCCCAAAACGGACCCCGAGGCGGACGGGACGGCGGTCGTAGCCGCCCAGAACAGTGCTTCCCGCGTGCGTTCCCAGTGGGAGTGGCGAGGGACGGGAGAGGGTGCGCACCCACAACCGAGGAAAGGCCGGGGCTGCGGAGTGTGGGCGCCCCGTAAGCGGTGGTTTCGAGTTTGCTCCGTTGAGGGTGTTGAGGGCAAGGGAGCCAGCCTCCCAGTTCGCATTAGGCATGAATCTTGGCCCTGTTCCGTGACCCCTTCCACTGCCAGGGTGGCCAGCCTTGCCTCCCTTTGACCCTGTCCTGAGCCTGATGGGGTCCCCCCGCCGTTCCCAGGCTCGGATGTAGCCCCACCGCCTTCCCCTGCAAACCCTTCCCTCAGTATCAGCTGTTCACTGGCTAGGAAACCATACTGAGAGGTGGCGGCAGTGGCCTCTTCCCACAACCCCTCCCCTGGGCAGCCCACCAGGCTTGGAGCCTCCTCCTCTGGACCTGGAAGATTTAGATCAGATTTTCTGGGTCTTGCCACTCCCAGGACCCCAGGAAGCCAGATGAGGGCGCGAGGGGACCAGTAGATTAAGCAGATTGCTCCTGAGGCTTCCACCCCTGCAGCTGCCCTCACTTGCTCAGAGGAAGGGATGGGGCCAGGGTGCTCAGCTCCCTGCCCGACACCCAGCCCGCTGCCTTCTCCTAAAGGGGTGCTGGTGGAGCCCCTCTCCCAGGCCGCTGGCGTTCGGGAGTTCCGGTGGATTTCAGGCCGGTGCAGGGATTTGGACGGCATGCGCAGCCCCATGGTTGGCAGGACTTGGCCACAGGTTCTGGATGAGATACAGGCTCGGGCCGCCCCCACCCAGCTGCCCCCGCCCAGCTGCCCCAGCCCTCACAGCCATCTGGGCGGGCGCAACCACAGCCCCTGCTTCCTGCATGGAGACTCCTGGGGATCCCACTGCCACTTCCTCCCAGCCAGACTGCTCTGAAGTTAGGGTGTCTGTGTCCACCTCCTCCGGGCCCTGGGGTTTCCTGGATCCCCTCCTGAGGTCATTAAGTCTCTAGGTCTGGGCTAGGTGGCAGTAGAGCCAGGCCCCCACCTTCAGCTTTGAGGGGCCCAGGTCAAGGGTTAATGGGGCTCAGGTCCACATAGCCAGGCTGTGGAGCTCCCAGCCCAGCCAAGTTCATTTATCAGACCCTGTGCTGTTCTGAAGTTTCCTGCTGCCCACCCAGAGTAAACGGGTCAGGCACACTCCTCCCAGCTTGGACCTCCATGCCTCCTCCTCTCCCTGCTCCCCTGTGGTCCGCCGGCCCTCAGGAGGGTCACCCAGCCCCACACGCTGTGAGAGGCACTGGGCAGGGGACGTGGGTCCCCAGCCTGGAGCCCCCAGAGACAGCCGATCCCTGTTGTCCGGCTCAGTAGGTGAAGAGCAGAGGTTGCTGCCCCGGCCCCAAGAGATCCCCCCACCCAGGGAAGGCCAGGACCCCTCCTCCCTTGTGCAGGAGAAGCCTTCCTGCCTCCTGTCCCCAGTTTGCCGGCAGAGGGCGGTCTCTGGTGGCCTTTGGAGGAATGACAGCCTGGAGCATCACACTGGAGGTGCGGGAAGGCCGCGAGACCAACAGGGATTTGTGGAGAGGAGGGGGGACTCCCTTGTGCCTCACTCTGCAGACCGCCTCGGAGGCCCACTGACGCTGGATATTCAGATCCAGGGCTGCCAGTGAGGAGAAGGGCCCCTTTGTAAGTGTGACCCAGCTTCTGCCAGACAGAGCCGTGCCCAGCGGGCCTCTTGAGCCCTGGCTGGCCCCTGGGAGGGGCTCACCCAGCACAGCCTGCGGAGCATTAGCGCGTGAACAAAGCACCGGATTGAGGCCCGCTGCGCCTCCCTGATGGTGGGCTTTCCGGCGCGGTGGAGTGGGACAAAAGAACCTCCGTGCCCTCCGGGGGCTGAGCCTCCAGGCCTGAGCCCGCTTTCATTCTTTTATTTTTGAGTAGCCAATACCCACAGGAAGATACTCAGGCCGTGCAGAAGCAGACGCAGGGTCCATCAGCACCCTGATTTCCTGAGGAAACTTGCAGAGGCTGTCTGGGCACAGAAAAGGTCAGGGGACCGCGGACCCTTATTCTTATGGATGGCAACCTGCTGCCCAGTGTCATGGGCCGTGCTGCTTTCACTTCGCCATCTGTCCTGGAAGATGGTCTGTGTTGGAACATCCAGACTTACCTGGCTCTTTTTGTCCACCGTCGCCTTTTATTGCAAGGATGTCACATCCATTAGCCAGATCCCGGCACCGACAGACGTGCGGGCTGTTCCTAATACTTGGCCATAGCCAGGAGCTGCCAGGGCCGCCTGGGTACTGTGGCGTGAGTATGTGCGGGACCCAGCCCCAGGGAGCACCTAAGGCGTCGTGTGTTGGCAGATTTGCCGGCCTGTCCTCTAAAGCTTCTCCTCCGGCTTCTGTCCCAGCCTCAACGTCAGTGTGTCCTTGTGCCTCGTACCTCATGTGTTGGCAGATCTTTTGATCTCCAGCGCCCAGGCAGTGGCGGTGGTTTGTGGCTGAGGTTGTGTGAGGTTGGCTGTGGGTAAGCCGGGTCCTCAGTGGCCCAGGGGGCTGGGCAGGGGCTGGGTGATGTGGGGGGGGGCAAGGGGAGCCAGGACCTTGGAGCACCTGTGAGCACGTGTTCTCTCCTGAGGAGGGAGAGAGGGTGGCAGGGCTGACAGTCACCCTGGCCTCAGCCAGTAGCCTCTAGGTCCCTGCACCTGAGCGCCAGAGCCCAAGCCTCCAGGCCCTCCGTGCACTCAGAACCCGTGTCAGGCCTGGCTTGGGGCCAGGAATATCCCTCCTGGCTGCAGGCAGAGAAGCCGACCGAGCGCACGGCCTCAGCCAAGACCAGGGGAGCTTGAACTTAACGTGAAGGTCCTAGGACCCAGCGAGCCCCCTCCCCACCTCCCCCACGCCAGAGGCATGTTGTCAACAAGCGAGTTCACTTCCAGGACACTCACTGCCTTCAGCGTCTGGAGGACTAAGAAGTCTTTGTGGTGCCTTTGTGTGGGGGCCCGTGTGGCTTGGGCATAACCATGCCGGGCGCCTGTGGGGTGAGCCCCAGGAGTGCGGGCTCTGACTAACAGGCCAGCAGCCAGCCTGGCGGCGTAGGAGGTGTCGTTTCTCCTCCATGTGGCCCCTCGACACGGAAGGGCCCAGGAACCAGCCTCTGGGCGTGGAGCCCAGGCCGCTGCTCCCAGCCTGGGCTCTGAGTGCTGGCCTCCATCTCCTCGCCTGTGAAATGGGACCATGAGAACAGGGCAGTTGGGATGTCAGCTGAGTGATGCCCCTGAATTGCGCACATCCTGCCGGACGTAGGCTGCCTTCACGGTCTGAGGCCGGGGTGTGGGGAGGAGACTGGGAGGATTCAGGGGCCCATCAGGGTGCTCCCTGACTCAGTACCTTCCTCGGGAATTCTCGGGGTGCTTTGAACATACATGGCTTTTCCCTTTTGCTTAACGGTGGCTCTGAGCTTCCGGTGCAACGCTCCAGGTGCAGGGTCTGTGCCACACGTGAAGGGTGACAGATGCATCTGCCACGTTGTAGCCGACAGCCTGCTCTGTCTCTCCCAGGCCCCGCCCAGCTCTCAGGAGGAGTGAGGCAGTGGTCTGAGCAGGATGCCGAGCCCACCGTCCCGCCTTACCTGGCCGCCCACCCACCCTTCCCATCCTCTCATCCCTCTGTGCTCCAGCCCCACCACCTCCTTTCCCAGGCTCCCTGAACTTCGCAGGTCGGTTCCTGCCACAGGGCCTTTGCACCTGCTGTTCCCACTGCCATGATTTCTCATCTCAGCTCATCACCTGGCCAGGTCCTTCTCATGTTTCAGGTCCCTGGGTGATACCACCCCCCCAACACCTTTTTAAGGAGCCCTCCACCCCATCTCACGTTCCTGGTAGCACAGTGGTCACGGGAACAGACCCTGCAGCCAGCCAGCCTGGGTTCCAAGCCCGCCTCTGCCCATGCTGGCTGTGTGACTGTGGCAAGTGTCCTGGCCTCTCTGCGCCCCAGGTTCCTCGTCAGGACCCACCGTGTTACTTATTAGGTGCCTACTGCATGCCAAGTGTGGACTGAGCCCTGCAGACCGCGTGCCCCGTCCTCACGGCCTTGCCCTAAGGGGCAGGTGGGTGACTGGGCGGCCTTCAGTGATGCTGACTGTTGTCATCACTCGTCACAGTCATTAACCCTGACATCACCCTCATCTCGCAGCACCTACTTCCAGGTTCACTTGCTTACCACTGGTCTTCCTTACAAGACCGTCCCCGGGGTGGTGGATAGCAGGGCGGGGTCTCCCTGGGTCTTCACTGACCCCTCAGCCCACGGCACAGCAAGCCCTGGGTGGGGTGTGGGGTGGACAGACGATGCTGGACAGGAGGATGCTGGGCGTGAGGTTACCCCAACCGCCAGCAGCCCCCAGGGGAAGACCCGCCCTGCGGGGGTCCCACAGCTCCTTTTCCTCTGGATCTTTAGAGCCCAGACCCCCAAGCGAGCCAGACAAAGCCTGCAGCCAGAGCCGCGCTCTGTGAGGTGGCCATGGGCCCTCTTCCTCATTTACACGGGAGGTGATGGTGAGCCCGGCCTCGTGGGTGCTGAGGGGTGAGCGAGTGAAGGAGCAGGGGTGCGCGCAGCGGGCGCTGTTGGGACTTACTTGGGCCCGGGGGCAGGTGCTCTAAAGCCACCCAGCCCCCGATGTGCTTGGCTGTGCCCCAACGGTGGCCCTGAGCCTGTTTCCTCATCTGTGCAGTGGGACTGATGACACCTGTGTCCAGACCCACCGTGAGGCCAGAGGTGTCCAGTTAGAGCTAGAACGTGAAGGGGGAGGGCCGGCAGTTCAGCCTTCTGTCCCCGCGGTCCTTGCAGAGCTGGCTCCACGCTGGCCCCTCAAGATGCATCAGGGACCATGGATGTGCACTCCACCCAGTGCCAGCGGGCGGGCAGCTGTCCAGGGTCACAGCTGGCTTCACTCCAGTCCTGCTCCTGCTGCCAGCACGTCGAGCTGACCATTCTGTGCCTCCACTTGCCCACCTGTCAAAGGGGACGGCAGTGCCAGGCCTGGGGCCACGGGGAGGACCGGAGGAGACACGGTGCGCAGTCGGTGGCACAGCCTCCCCTCAGCCCACGGGTCCGCCCGTCAGCGGAAGGCTTGCTGAGCGCCCTTGGAGCCTGGCCCGGGGCTGCAGCGGCGAAACGAAGCAGGTGCCTGCCCTCGGACGGCTGCCCTGCTGGGGCGGCCCCAGTGCGAGGCAGCTCTGCGGGGCGACGGCCCCTCCCCAAGCTCTGCGCAAGTCACGAGGGAGTTTTATGGTGTGCAGGTTAAACAGCGTTAAGCAGCGTGAGCGCTGTAAACAGATGCACGTTGTACCAACCAGCGATAAAGGATGCGAGGAAAACGAGACCCAGCGGGCGCGGGCCAGGCCTCTGTGGGCAGGGCCAGTGCCCCCACTTCCTGCCAGGGCCTGGGGCAAGGCACCCACCTCTCTGGGCCTCAGTTTCCCATCTGCAGTAATGACTCAGCTCATGGGAGTCCTTGGAATTATCCATGGTGGGGCAGCCCTGTGGGTTTGGGGCTCCCCTCCTGTTCTCACCCCTGTCCGCCTCCCTTCCACCTCCTGGAAGGTTCACCCTTCTCCCACACAGTCTCGTTGCCCCGGAGACACAGTCGCCATGGCGATGGCGGAGGGAGGACGGGTGTGTGCGCACAGGAAGGGGCTGGCCGGGGCGACCCGTGGACTCTGTAGGTGCTGGGGGCTGGGACAGGGCTGAGGACACCTGGGGAGCAGGAGGTCTGGGCCCCCACCCCAGGAGCCATCCTGCTGCGTTAACACTTCCACCCCCTCCCACCCTGTTGGCCCCTCTAATGTTCCAAAGTGTATTAACTACCAGGAAAATCATTCCACCCTGGCCACTGGGAGTGTGCATGTCTCCTCTGAAGACTGGCATGCGCTGGCGAGTCGAGGGAGAGACAGACAGGCAGACAGACGCCTCCCCGCTCCGTGGCTCGAGGGCTGATGGCTCCTCCCCGGCGGGGATGAGGGCTTCTTGTTGTGGACACTTGTGTTTCCACCAGACTTGGGACAACAGGGTGCCTCAGGGCCGGGCGAGGGTCCCTGTGGGCTCTTCAGGCCCACCTGCCAGCACCCTCCCCAACCCACCAGGGGCAGGTCCTTGTCAGACACCTCCTGAGGGTTTCCCTGATGCGCTGGGGCCCCCCACTCCAGCTTGTCCTGGAATCCATGCAGAAGCCCGCCCCAGGGAGGAGCCGGGCTGGGCAGGGGCGTGAGTGGTGGGGACTGGCTTTGTGCCGGGGAGCAGGGCGTCTGCACTGGGGGCAGGTAGGATGTCTGAGACTGAGGACAGGCCCCCAAGCCCAAGCCTGAGGGGAGGCGGGCCCCTCCCTCCCCTGCCAGCCCCCCAGATTTGGTCCCATTCTTACGGTCCTGCTCTGGCAGGGGCTGCAAGCTACAGTGCTCCCAGGGCCCGGGCAGGAGTGTCTGTCCCCAGGCCCACGCCCTTAGCCCTGCCCTTCTCCTACAATTTGACGCAGAGCCTGGCCACTCAGACCTGTGCTAAAACCCCCTGCTTCTCGATGTGGGCACACATTTCAAAACCACCTCAAATGCTCTTGAGGCCTGAAGCCCAGAGACGTGTGTGGCCTCCCGGCTGGGCTGCCCAAAAACCAGAGGGAGCAGCTCCTCTGTGAACCCCATGGAGCCCTGCGAGGGGTGGGAGCAAGGGACTGCTCAGTTCAGACACCCAACTGTTACTGTAGCCTTCAGGGGACAACCAGGAGGTAGGTGGTTCTCCAGTGGTATCTGAGCCCTGGCCTGCCCAAAGCAACTGGCCTGGGTGGGGAAAGGCTCCCGTCTGGGTGAGCCATTACCTGGTTAGGGGGATGGGGACCAGCATCCTCACCCAGCTTCATCTATGGTCTGAGGAAATCCCCGAGGACTTCCCAGAGGAAGCAGCCATGGTGCTGGGAGGCAGGCCTGCTCTAACTACAAGGCTCTGGGCCTGTGATCTTAACGAAGAGTTGTGAAATGTGTGCGTGTGTGTGTGTGTTCTGACTTTCGGAAAGAACACTGCAGAATTAGAACCTTCAGGTGCCTGTAAAACTTGGAAAAAAAAAAGTGTAGCCACAAATACACATTTTAACACGAATGCTCTCTTGGGCATCTCCGGCGCCCGGACAGTGAATAGCCATGGGACGTGCTCTGTGAATCCTGTTGATGGCTGCCGTGTTTGTAGTGACATGAAGGGGGCCTCCCAGAAAAAAGGGCCCTCAGGATGGCAGAGCCAAGAGGAAAGGGCATCTCCGGCCAGTGTCCTCCTTCTTCTGAGCCGTGTGCCACCTGCCCCCTGGGAGGAGCTGCCCCTCTGATCAGCAGTGTCCACTGGGAGCTTCCCCCGGTTGCTGGTCACTGAGTAGTCATGTCCAGCTGCCAGTCCTGCCCAACAGCCTTTCAGGGGTCCCTAGACCCGAGGGGGTCTCCAGGGTCCCCAGATTCTGCATATTCTGGTGGGCCTCCTGTCAGAACATGGGGAGGAGGTAAAGGAACAGAGAGAACCCCAGGAGGGACTCAGGGTTTCCTGGAAAGGAAGGAAGCTAGCTGAGTCTCTGCAGGCATATGCAAATTATATGCAAATCACCAAGCCCCCTCCTGATCAGTTGAGGCCCCTGGGAATTCCTGGGTTGGGAATTTACAGGCAGGGGCTGCAAACTCAAAAGCTTCTGGGGGCCCTGCAGGTAGCATAAACGAATCAAGAGGATTTTATAAATGTCCCCAAAAACAAAAAAAGGCCTGCATGTTGGTGCATTTCTTGAAGCCTGGCCTGGGAGGGGGCGTGGCTCAGAATGTCCTGAAAACCCTGCCTTCCAGCCACCTGTGGGTCCTCCGCGGCTGGCTGGTGAGCCCACCCCTGGCACCATGTCCATGTGGCTGAGTGCTTTTCATGGGGTTGTCACACAGCCTGGGAAGTGGCCATGAGCGCCATCTGGCGCCCCGCCGGGGCCCCCACGGATGGCATTGGTGCCTCCCCGTCCCCGGGGCCCCAAATAGCTGGTGAAGGTGACTGGGGCTTGAGAATAGGGCTCTCTGTGCCCAAGGTTGCCCTCCACTCCTGCTTCCTGTTTGGCTCAGGGGATCCCCGCGGGGGCACTTTTCAGCAGAGCTATCCCCTGACAGCGCCACATGCGCTTTATAGAGAGAGCACCTGTGCCGGGGCTGGTGGGAGCACTTCCACATTGTCACCCACATGTGTCCTCACAGCCTCTCGACATCCACAGGTGAGGCAGCAGCCCAGAGGGGCGAGTCACTTACCTCAGCTGCAGCAAGGAGGTGGCTAGGTGGGACTTGGACCCAGGCAGCCTGGCTCCAGACTCCAGACTACGTGAACATGCAGCTCATGACTAGATGCCGTTGCCCTACTCAGCGTGGGTTTCAGACCTCGGGTCGTCAACTGCTGCCTCACAGGCCAGCTCAGGACCTGAATTTGGCACTCCAAATGTTTAATAAATAAGCTTACTAAAATTTCACTTTCTTAAGTGTCCCCTGGGCACTCTGCTGCCTCAGGAGGAGTGAGGTGGGCAGGCTGCCATGAGCAGTTGTACAGGTTGTGCACTGCTCAAGCTCACCCCACCTGAAGAGCATTAGGTTTATGAAGACATTTCAGCAACCAACTGTAAAGTAACTGAAGGGAGGGGCAAGAGATGCCCTGTGGGCCAAGGGGCCAGGGCTGGGGTGGTGCTGATCGGGGATGGGCGAGACCTGCCCCTCACAGGGATGGGCCCTGGGCAGGGGGCTCTTTTGTGGGGCCCAGTCCCCACCTCCACCCTCACTCTGCTCTCTGCCCGCAGGAGTGGCTGAGCAAGTTCGGCTACCTGCCCCCAGTGGACCCCACGACAGGGCAGCTGCAGACACAGGAGGAGCTGTCCAAGGCCATTGCCGCCATGCAGCGGTTTGGAGGCCTGGAGGCCACTGGCATCCTGGGTCAGTCCTTGGGGTGCAGTGGGAGACGGGTGCTGCGCCTGGGTCCTCCTGATCCTGCCTCCAGCCTGCCGTGGTGGGTGGGGTTAGGGCCAGGATGGAGGATTCCTGCCACGTGGGGACCCCTGTGTCGTCCCTTCCCCATCCCACAGTGTGGGCACAGTGGTAGGTGAGTGTGTGCCAGCGCCAAGACCGCATCTCCACACTCACAGCCAGGTCTCAGTGCCATGGCCACGGGCCAGCTGTGGGGTGGGGGAGGTCTGGCCACCCACGCCCCAGGTGACTCTTGCCCTGGTGGGAGTGCCAGCCCTGTGCTGTCAAAACCCCAGCTTTCCAAGAGAAACCAGAAATCTGGGGTGTTTCTGTGAGCACCCCACTTTATTTTTATAAAGACCCTCTGCAAGGCTGGCTGATTGAGACCCATCTGTTCCCAGGCCTCCCAGGAGTAGACACGTGTGACACACAGAGCTGGTCAGGTGTGTGTCCCGTGAGACACAGGAAGCATTGGCTACACGGGCCCAAGCTGGGGTCGTGTCCCTCTGGCTGCTCAGGGCCACCAGTTAGTCGATGCTCTGAATGACCCCACCCTGGTCCGTGGACATCCCCCCGCAGTGTGGCCTGAGGCAGCTGGAGGCCCAGGCCTCGCCCCCCCACCCCTAGACCTGGTACGTGGAGTCCCAGGTGAGCTGGGCCTGGCTCCTGACCCCCGCCCGCCCTGCAGATGAGGCCACCCTGGCACTGATGAAAACCCCGCGCTGTTCCCTCCCTGACCTCCCAGCGGCGGCCCCGGCTCGAAGGAGGCGCCAGGCTCCAGCCCCGACCAAGTGGAACAAAAGAAACCTGTCGTGGAGGTGGGTGGGTGGGCTCCCCCAGACAGGGCCTTCCCAGGGGCCTGAACTTTGGGGTGAGGAGGGGAAGCTGAAGTAAACACCCACAGACGAGGGTTTAAGAGACGGGAATTGGTCGTCTCAGCTCTGGAGACCAGAAGTCTGAGATCCGTGGTCGCAGGGCTGGTCCCCTAGAGGCTCAAAGGGAGAGTCTGGCCCTGGCCTCTGCCCAGATGCTGCCGGCAACCCTGGGCCCAGTGGCTCCAGTCCCTGTTCCCGTCTTCACGTGGCCTTCTCCTTTCATGTCTGTGTCCTCTTCTGTCTCTTATAAGGACACTCACTCTGTTTAGGGGCCACCGTAACCCAGGACACCTCATCTCCACCCTCGCCTTAATTGTATCTGCAAACACACTTCCAAATAAGGTTCCCAGTGCCCGGGGTGTCCCAGAAGCACAGCTTAGCCCGGGGCGGGGGCACTGGACCCATCCCCATGACCCACCCCCATCTCTGGCCCCGCCTGCCCCCGCCCCAGGGTCCGCACATTCCCGCGGGACTCGCCCCTGGGCCGCGACACGGTGCGGGCGCTCATGCACTACGCGCTCAAAGTCTGGAGCGACATCACGCCCCTGAACTTCCACGAGGTGGCGGGCAGCGCCGCCGACATCCAGATCGACTTCTCCAAGGCCGACCACAACGACCGTTACCCTTCGACGGCCCGGGCGGCACGGTGGCCCATGCCTTCTTCCCGGGGGACCACCACACCGCAGGGGACACCCACTTCGACGATGACGAGGCCTGGACGTTCCGCTCCTCGGGTGCGTCCTGCTGAGCGGGGGCGGTGCCATGGACCCTGTGTAGCCCTGGGCCCCCCACAGACCCCACGAGGCTGTCGGGAGCCATGCCAGCCCACCAGGATGAGGAAGCCGCCGTAACCTCCCTCCGGTCCAGGCGCCCTGGCCCAGAGCTCTGGGCCTCTGTCTAGCTCAGGAGGTCAGCTCTGCCGTTTAGTTTAGGCTGACGTCCCCAGCCGTCTCTGCCTGGCTGGGCTCGTGGGCCTGGGAGGGCAGGGAGACCTGACTCCATGAGGCAGGCCTGTCCTCATCCCGGCCTCTGCTTCCAAGAGGGAGCAGAAGCGTGCAAGGTCTCTGCAGGCCTGGGCGCGTCATCACCTCTGCTAAGTCCCACTGGCCAAGGAAGTCGCAGGCCCCCCGGTTCGGGCAGGGGGTGATCAGAGCCACGCGGCATTGGGCAGGGGAGACAGAGCCCTCGTGGAGCTGGTCTGCGTGGCAGCCCGGGGAGCCCAGCCCAGGTGGAGAGACCAGCTCTCTCGGCCAGGATGGGAGCCCAGGTCCCTCCTGCAGGGCCTGGGGGATCTGTTCAACACTGTGAGGTTCAGGGCTCCCTGTAATGTGGGGTCCCGATGGCCTGCAAGGCCTGAAATACCACCATGTGGCCTGTACAGAAAAGTTTACCAAGTTTACCGTGAGCAGCAGCTGTAGTTGGCAGGGGCACCAAGAGACCCCAGGACCAGAGAAGCCCCTGGAGGCCCCCTAGGGCCTCATGGGAACCAGACAAGCCCTGAGTGACTACAGAATCTGCTGGTCCAGAACCAGGGTCTCCTGTGTGACCCACACAGCACACCACCACACCCCACCCCACAGGTCCCCGCACCAGCCAGGGCTGAAGGTTGTTCCCATGGCTCACTGGCTCCTGTGTCCCCAGATGCCCACGGTGTGGACCTGTTCGCGGTGGCTGTCCACGAGTTCGGCCACGCTATCGGGCTGGGCCACGTGGCGGCCACGCGCTCCATCATGCAGCCATACTACCAGGGCCCGGTGGGCGACCCGCTGCGCTACGGGCTCCCCTATGCGGACAGGGTGCGCATCTGGCAGCTGTACGGTGAGTCACCCCCCCAAAGCCAGGTACAGGTCGCTCGGGGCGGGGCAGTGGTGCTGGGGACCCCCGGAGCACAGAACCCCACATTCAGCGCCGCACGCTCAGCATCTCAAACCCGCCTGGCGCACCCTGCTCTGTAGCACGGGTGGACTGAGTTAGTGGGTGAGTTCTGTCACCAGGGGTCCCTGGGAGCTGGGGCCCCACTGGCCTTTACCCGGATCTCTCAGAGCCCCGGGCGAGATCCCACATTCAGCCCCCAAGTCATTTCTGGTTGTGACAGCCGACGTCGGTGGCCTGGTGCACAGCACTTACAAGTATTAAGTCGTCCAGTCCTTACCACCTGTGAAGTGGGTCCTACAGCCCCCAGACCTCACCACCCTCCGACATCTGTGGGCTTTTCTTATTGTAGTAAAATTGCCTTTTTAACCATTTGAAAGCAAACGATTCCATGACATTTGGCACACTCACAGCGCTGTGCAACCACCACCTCCAGAACTGTTTCATCACTGCCTCCCCGCCACCCATCAGCAGTCACTCCCCACCTCCCGCCCCTGGCAAACACTCATCTCCTGACTCTTCGGATCTCCTATTCCAGACGTCTTGTGTAAATGGAATCATACAATGGGTGGCCTTTTGTGTCGGCCTCTTCCAGTTAGCGTGTGTTTTCAAGGGCCATCCCTGTCACCGGTTGGATGCGTCAGTAATTCGTTCCTTTTTACAGCTGGATCATTGTATTTATCCATTCTTCCGCTGATGGACATTTGGGTTGTTTCCACCTTCGGGGCCATTCTCAATAATGCTGTGATGCACAGTCACGTGCAAGTTTCTGTTTGAACACCTGTTTTCTGTTCTCTTGGGTCTGTACCCAGCAGCCGAGCTGGGGGGGGCTGTGTAAACACTCCTTTGAGTCATTGAGGCACCTGTGTCTTCTACTCACCCCCCCCCAGCCTGGTGCCCACCCACCCAGTAGCCTCGGGGCCACCCTGGGGGGCCCAGGAGGGGTGGTGGGACTTGCCAGCTTCGATTCAGCCTCTTTGTCTCCACAGGTGTGCGGGAGTCCGTTTCCCCCACGGCACAGCAGGGCACCCCAGAGCCTGAGGAGCCCCCCCTCCTGCCGGAGCCCCCCGACAATCGGTCCAGCATCTCGTAAGCTGTGGGCCCCTTGTCTCCATGCCAGCACCACCCCAGCAGTGGCCCAGAGCCCTGAGCTCCGGGCTCTTCTGGGCCAGCTGAGCACTGAGTGACACTGGCTTTTCTTATGTCCTTCAGACAGCACAGGGGATGCTTGCTCACCCCAGCCCAGAACGAGATTTCAAATGCATGATTCCTCTCCCTTTGTCCCAGCCATCTACTGCTGTGTAACAAACACCCCAGCCTCGTGGCATCGACCCCGGTGGCATTAGGTTCCCGTGTTCTGTGCATCAGCAGTTTGGACAGCACAGTTCCGGGCTGGTCTCCACTCTGCAGCGTTGGGGACAGTAGCTGGAATCGTCCAGGGGCGTCTTGACTCAGATCCAGTGCCTGGGCTGGGCTGACACGGGTGCTCCGCCAGGCACCCATCTGTGGCCTGGGCTCAAGGCTGGATGCCGAGACTAAGGGTCCCAAGGGAGCATCCGTCCGCAGGGCTGGCATTGCGGGACACCAGGTGGAAGCTGCCCCCCGCCTTTTAAGGCCCCGCCTCAGCAGTTTCTTCAGTGAGTCCTTTGGTTAAGCAGTCGGAGCCCGCCCGCTCTCAGGGGGCTGGACATAGAGCCCCCAGCCAACACAACAAGTGTCACAGAACCCGGGGAGGGGCGTCCCTGTCCACCCCCACCTCTGCACTCAGCCTGGCACGCCTCCTTGCTACCTTCACATCACACAAACGCCTACAGACAGAAATCTGTGGCTTCTGTGACTTGCTGTGGTTTGGTTTTGGGTTTGGTTTTCCGAAAGTGCAATGGCTTCACACTTCCCTCACTTGGCTGTACCTGGAGAGCTTCCACTGAGGGCGACAGATGTCGCCCCGGCTTCTGTTCATTGCGCTTATTTATTGAATAAGTAGAACGCGTCGGTGGGACGCGGAGGGCCTGCGGTGAGAAGTTAGTCCTCACCCCGACCTCCCAGCCCCGCCCCGGGGAATGTGCGTCTTCCCCAGAGAGGCTCTGCACGTGCGTGAGGACGCCGCACGTGCAGACGCGCGTGTGTGAGAACGCTGCGCGCGTGGGAACGCAGCGGGGCCGTCGCGCGCGCTGTGCGCCGGTCGGTTCTCGGCCGGTCGGCCGGGCCGTCCCGCCGGTCGTCGTGTGAGACGCCTCGGTTCCCGGGTACCGGCCCGGGCCCGGTTACGTC